AAAAAAAAAAAAAAAAAAAAAAAAAAAAAAGGAAAGCAAAATTGAGATCATGAAAAGCCACTACTATTTTGAACCGAAATTTGGAACCAAGGGACTTGGTAATTAATTTATTCGTAACATTCTATGAACTTCATGCAGTTGTTAGGATACTGATAACAATATATCATCTTCCTATCTCAAAGATTTGGTTTGGCTTCTCTCCTGGATATTGAGCATGACCCCTGTACGTATCAAAGTTAACTCTTCCCCTTCTTCTATTTGGCATCTTATTTATTGTATTCCTAGTCTTATCAGCAGAATCAGAGAAATATATTACCAAAAAATCTAGTGTGATCCTTTTTTCCAGATTCTTCCAATAGATAATCTAAATCATTTTCTGAATAGATTCGACCAACTCGAGACTTCAATTTTCCTTTAGTATTTCTTTGCATTCAAGTTTATAGTTTATACAACTGAACTGAGAAAGCAGCTTATTTGTTTCATCAAGCCACAATATTCAGGTACAACAGCTGAAGAGAAGACAACCAATGAATTAAGTTTAAAAGAAAACATTCAAACAGTATAAACCTGGTTTAGAGATACAAAAGATTTTAGAAAGACTTCTACGAGCAGTATATGTATATAATAGAAATTATGAGAAGTCCACAAAATTTTCAATGATCACAATCGCCATAACTAGACATATTAATTGAAAATCAAGAGAGAACAATAATCAAAGAGGGCTTGTATAAGTGGAATCACAGTGCACCTGTATAAAGTAAATGGCGCTGTTGATAGAAATGTAGAAAATCCTCAGTTTATCGGTTGGCAAACTTCTAGCCTGTCCAATCACAAGAATAAAACTGTCAGTGGTTCTTGTGACAAATGTATTTACGGCTCACTTATTGCACGAGTGTTACAGCCACAAGTGCACAGCTCTAACTCTGAGTTTCTAACAAGAATTCTCCAATTATACCTGATGATATATCTCTGCCCAAAAAAGGACAAGAAGTGTATATGTGGAAAAGAAGAGCAAGCCAGGAAATTCCAGCAGTAACAATGTCAGGACCTGATTGAAAAAAACATACATTGATAATGAGCATATAGCATGAAAATTGTCACAAGAAGGGTGATGATATCTAAAACCACTCCCAGTGAGAGTATTTTAATTTGTTAGCAAAAGGAATACACAGAAAATTCATAAAATAATATTTCGGACAAACCCAAACCTTTTAATAGAATCCACAGTGTTCACGAAATTGAGAAACCTTTCATGAGTTCTCAATACATAATCATACTCAAAGGGCATTAAGAAGAAAAGACCAGGGCCATTTGATCAATCAACTATACTGTCTAGAGAAAGTACATCATCTGCAAGTAGTTTACGTGCACCACGAATACTATTAGCTGTGTGGTATACCTTTTTTGCTATTTTAATACTACCATCTCAATAGATCCCTAATCTCAAAAATCTTTGTGGAACTTGTTCTTCAAATCTAAGACCCCTCTATCTGCATATCTACTACGCTGGAAAACTTCAACTAGAAAGGAATCAGATGAATTAATAGAATCCATTATGAAGCATACTAACGAGGTGAATCTTACCTTTGGGTGAAAAAGATACACGTGCTTATGAAATCCAAACACAACAGCTCGCACTGCAATGTGCACCATGACCGTTAATTCTCCATTCAATAGAAATATGAATAAGGTAAATCACTATATTTTAGTGATTTATCTTCATACCTCCGTTCACGATGAAGTTCATGAGGTGGAAAACCTTTTGAGTGGTCCAACCATACTCAGGGACTCTGAGTTCAATCCTTATCAATTGTACCTGCAAAAAAACAGATGCATCTCATTTTAACAAAAGTTGTTTCTTCATGCACCAATAGTTCCACGATTATTTTTAAAAGCTCAAGTAGTTGATAAAGAAGAATGCCAAACTACATAATTACAAGTGTGGGAAACAACATCAATCAAGCCATTGCTAATTTCTTTTCTCATCCAGCACAGTCTAAAGGGATTTAGCTGTTTTCTTCTTTCTAGCACAGGTTACTTAAAAGTATTTAGCTAAGACCGAAAAGGACTCAAGTGTATTACATATCCCCTGAAAGTTGTTCATTTAAGGTCCCCATAAATAAGATAGGCCCAATCACTTTTGGGACAAATGGAGCATTAGAAATATTTTTGGGACAAATGAAGCATTAAAAATCAGATCTTTCATTTCAATCAGTTTAAGCGGCAAAATCACACTCGCAAAAACGCATATTAAAACCAGCTCGTATATAGCCTGTGGTTCTTCAGTTTCTGAGCTTCACAGGCGAAACAACATATTCCTACACAAACTCACAAACTGAAACGAAAAACGAAATAAGGCAATCAAGACAACAGTATACCCCAACTTTTTCAGTTCATAAGCTACCATTGCACGGGAAAACTAAGCAACACGAAACCGAACCACAAATTGAATTTAAAAACCCTCACAAACTCCATAAAAAGGGAAGTATTTTCGCAAAAAATTGACGAACAGTAACAAGATAGACTAACAAGGGCAACGGCCGAGACGGCGGCGTACGCCGCGCAGAGGGAGAAGAATATCCCGTCCTGCCATCCGACGGACTCGTTGATCTCTTCCCACCAGGTGACCGCTTGCCCTCCGTCGCCGGTACCAATCGCCGGGAAGCTCAGTGGCAATCTCGTCATTTAACCTCGGCGCGCGGTGTCTCTCTCTCCCCCTCCGTACACTTGCAGCTCGCTCGCCTTGCCCAAGTGAATGTGGCGACCAATTGATTAGCTGTTGGTGTTTTGTATAATAATAATAATAATAATATTTCTAATCTGAGGAGGAGATCAAGTCGTAGACGCCATGGATGAGAAATAAAGAAAAGCCTGCCAAAAGAGGAAAAAAGAAAATCGAAAGAAACGTAAGCAAATTTGTAATTGACGTAAAAAAATTAGAAAGTGACATTTATTAATTGTGGAAAAAGGAAGGGGAAAAAAAGGATTATTGATCTCATAATAAATTCCTTTAAATTTCATAAAGATGTAAGTCGAATTAAATAAGGCTTGTAGATGGAGTCACATAGATGTGTTGTACATGCCCATCTATTTCATAATACTTGTTATTTGACCAATTTTTATTTTCTCTAATTTTAATTGTAATTTTTTTAATGCATTTCTAACATTTTATTTTTTCTACTGTACCTTTTGTTATCTACATATCTATATCTATATATATATAAAGAGGTTGTTGGAAAAATACATTAGTAGAAAGTTTGACCTAATAAATAAAACAATTGACTTACTATAAATGGAAAGTTCGAAAAAATACATGTGAATCTTTAGTAACAAAATCTGAATCCTATTTTTTTGGTAACTAATTTGGATATTCTTATGGAAAAATTTGAATCCCATTTTTTTCGCATCATATATATTTTTTTTTTACCATAATTTAAATCATATATTTTGGTAATAAATTTGGAGATTCTTATGCAAAAAATGTGTCAATTATTTATGAAAATAATTCTAAATACAAATTAACTTTAAAATCGTACAAATTGGATACCAATTTAGGAAACAAATAGTTGTATAATTCTTAACCAATTCTTCCAATCTTATTGAATAAATTTTTCTTTAAAAAAAGTGTGTAAATTGGATAAAACCACGTGCAATTTTTATTTTAGAATAAAACTGATATTTGGACGGGATGTACATTCAAAATTGTGTCCACATTTTTTGTAACAAAAGCGATTCATCTTTGATATTTAAAGTCACCTTATCCAATTATTTAGAAAAAATTGTGTGCAACTTTTCAAGATTTAAATGCATCGATTTTTTTGGATTCTTATGTTTTTTCTTAACCATGTTTTACTGAGATTTTGGTAAGTTCATATCATTTTTTTTTGTTAAGTTCATATCATTTTCTTTAGGAAAGAGACAGTTGCATAAACATTAATAAATTGTTCCATTTTTTTATTAAAATTATTTTCAATTCAATTTGTTTGGGAAAAAAAAATCGGTACAGTGTTAGGAAAATTAGGTTGCATTTTTAGGAAAAATTGATGATTTTTTATTTGGTTTAAAAATATATTTGGATCAATTTGTTTGATAAAAAAATCAGTTTATTGGTAGGAAAATCGGCTTCATTTTCAGGAGTAAATAATGATTCTTTTTAATATATATAAAAAGGTTGTTCGGAAAATACTTAAATAGAATGCTTGACTTATTAATTAATTTGTTTGACTTACTAATTTAGGAAAATTTGTTAAAAAGCACGTGCAATTTGAGTAAAAAAAATGAGATTTTAAAAACAATATTCGAATCAATTTCTTAATAAAAAAAACTGGGAGGATGATGTTGAATTGTGGATGAGGATAATGTCAATTGATACTTTCCGAATTGAAAGGTCACATGTGAAATATATACACCAAAGGTATCTAATTTATTAGTTACTTAGGGAGCATGATTGTAGGAGATCAAAATATATCAATGTAAATGTAATATCAAGCCATATAAAACAAGTTTCGTTATAAGTAATTTAAACATTCTTGGTAAGTTTAAAATTATTATATATAATAAATCCTTTTTTTTTATATATATATTAATAGATACTACCTCCTTATTTTTTTAATGCCATTTTGACTTTATTAACAATTTACCAAATAAATGACGTTTTGGATCTTTTGTACATATTTTTTCATTATTACTCCAATCTAACTAATAAATACACTACATCTTTTCATATTCATTCTTCATCTTTTCTCAAAACATCCATCTCTATCCTTATTAATGATGGTTATTATTTACCAAAAAAAAAAAATCTTAATTATTGTGCAACTTTTCAAAACAATATTTATTAGAAAAAGGAAGGAGTACTATATATGTACTTATATATCTATATCTATCTATCTATCTATCTATCTATATATATATATATATATATATCTGTATCTACATATATATTGAAAGAGGTTGATTAAAACATCATTTATAGAAACTTGATAAAAAATTTGAGTCAAAACCTTTGACTTAATTCTTTTGAAAATTCAATCTAATACTATAAAATAACAATAGGGATTTACTTAAGTTGAAAAAAAGTTCTCGCCTAAAATTTTAGATTTTACTACAATTGATAACTTTTTTTTAAATTCTTTGAAAAATTGGGAGTTGATTTGTAATTTGAATTATAAGCGCCGACGTTGGATGTAGCCGAGTCTATCAATCAGTACATGACATCATTGAATTTGTTGGATGGCCGTATGTGCTTGAGTTCTGACAGTACATGCAAATCGGATTCTAATAATGATTTTTTGTCTGAACTCCATACGCCTGAGTTTTTTAATAGCATCAAGTGTTCCGGAATACCGAACCATGAGTTGTATTTGAAAATTGGAACTCCGGTCATGTTGTTGCGGAACATGGATCATTTTATGGGTTTGTGTAATGGGACATGATTGGTTGTGACAAAGCTATCCAGTCATGTTCTTGAGTGTAAGATACTCACAGGAGATCATGCTGGTGATAAGGTGTTGATTCCAAGAATGACCATAACTCCTTATGATGTTAGAATTCCTTTCAAGTTCACGGGTGATTACTAGTTTATATGTTATGACGTTAATCCACAAATAGTTAAATTATTTAAATTTTTTTGTTGAATTTAATAACTTATTAATTATCTTTCACTTTTAATCTTTAAGTATTATTTAAATTTCTATATGTTGATTTTGGTTTTAAAAAAAATTGTAATGGTTTAAGCATTACTTTGATTTATATATGTTGATTTTGGTTAAAAAAATGTAATTGGGCTGCAATAAAAATAATACATTATATTATATATTCAAACAGAAAAGGTAGGACTTTGGTACTTGATACGTTAAAACAATACTTGACCGGTTTGTTAGAAATCAATCATCAACGGGATCCGTGGCGCAATGGTAGCGCGTCTGACTCCAGATCAGAAGGTTGCGTGTTCGATTCACGTCGGGTTCAAATCCCTTAAATCGGATCATTTATTTTTTTTATGAAAAATTTCTTTTTACCCCTCTAAATTCAATACTGTATTCCATATGCCTATGTCATCAAAATTGCCGTAAAGGTATCATTACAGTTACCATAAAATCCCTTTCATACAAACATAGTATACATTTCATTGTCATTCATTGATTTGAATTAAATGCACAGCATGTACAACTTGAATTCAACTACATTAATACTTTTTCGACTACAGCTTATATAGTTCAAGTTAATTACTGTCTCTGTAATTAGCAGCAGCACAAGATTTAAGTTTTCTAAATTAGATTTTGCTTGAATACTACATTTTCCTTATCAGATATGTATAATGAAAATTAAAAATCTATTTTACAACAACAGCTAGAATAATAATTGCTCATCATTAGGATGCTTCATATGGGTTTATGAGTAGGGGTCGTCCTAAATTCCCACTTCAAAGAGTGTAGGATTATACAACACGCCAATACTAAATAAATAGGATCACGCGGTAGTTGTTTGTATATTGCTCAAAGTGTTATCCTTAACTAAACACATCAGTATTTAAATTTTACATGTAAACTGTGTATTTATATCTTGTGATGAAAATAAGTTTAGCATCATTTTGTTCTGAATATCTTCCTTCCCAAGTGCTCTAACTTTCGTCTAGGCTCTTATAAGCATTTGTTAATAAAACACCTAATTAAAGTTAGTCACGCTTGGACGGGTTACACATCATTAAACGCCAAAATATAATTAACTTTTTATTAATATGCAAGGAATATTAAATATTACAAAATTTAAAAATAATTATCATGTTCAATTTAATATAACAATTATGAATATATTATATTTTGGTAACTATATTATTCAGCTATATTTACCAGAATTTTAAATAAGCAAATCCATTCTATCAATAGGAAAATACCACACATCCTTCACTTGTCCGTAAAATGCGATCTGATCAAATCAAAACGTTGCATATGTTGTCATTAAGTTGGCCACAAAAGTAGTTGTCCTCCCCAATCATCATTGGTGACAATAACTTTCATCTCCTCCTTAATTTCTCAATTAAAATTCCACCTAAAATTATTTGTTTTCCTTTCAGCTGTGCCTCCAAATCCATTAAGGCCAAAATGCCAATGTGCACCCATCAAATGATCATTCATATATAAGCTCTTGAAAGCAAAAGTCCCCAAAAAAAAAAAAAAAAAAATGAAGAGAAGATAGCATTAGCATAATCTTTCCTTTTCTTCTTGCGATGATTGATTGATTTGATCTGGACATCAAGAGGAAGGGCCGATCTGCAATATTCGTGAAATCTAGGGGCCGTTTTGGGAAGGAGATGAGCATTCTGTCCTGCTGCAGGGTTTCAAGAAGTGATACAATGAGGAAATCGGCTTTGAAATCTTCAAAAAGTTACATCAAAGATGGTAAGACGAAGAAAAAATGCGACAATCTGGAGGCTTTATCCACGACGGGTAGAAGCATATCGTTGAATCCCGGTAGTGAATTACGATCCATTTTCGCATGAAAATTTGATTTTATTTTTTTTGCTAAAAACTAGATTTCCTGATTGAGCAATGTAGCATTAATTAGTCCCATCCTTTTGTGTTTGTTTTGATAAAAATAATGCAGTTGGGATGAAGCAGAGGATAATAGCAGAGGATATAATGAGGCATGGAAATGGGAGAGTCCCAGCTGAGGTGTTCACTTTCCGAGAACTGGCAAACGCTACCGATAATTTCAACCCGGAATTGCTCGTTGGCGAAGGAGGGTTCGGGAGAGTCTACAAGGGATATTTCAAGAAAACAAATCAAGTAAAATGCTAATATAATCCATTAGAATGTATTTTATTTACCATTTTTTTTTTTTTTTATTATTTGCAATCTCATTTGTTACATTGTTTTTGTTGTTCTGTTTTAGATTGTGGCTGTTAAGCAGCTCGACCGAAATGGGGTCCAAGGGAATCGGGAGTTTCTAGCCGAGGTCCTTACATTGAGCCTCGTTCACCACTCGAGCCTCGTCAACTTGATTGGGTATTGCGCGGATGGCCGCCAGAGGATTCTTGTTTACGAGTTTATGCAAAACGGGTCCTTAGAGGATCACCTTCTTGGTAATCAATACAAGTTTTTTCTACTTATGATTCTTGTAAGATTTAGAGAATCGAAGGAAGAGAGTGCGATCCCACGCAGGTGAAGTGCACCATAAGGGGATGAACTTAGGTGTACCGTAGTGAGGTTCCATCTCAAAATTAATTGGTGATGGAAGGAGTAGCCACTAGATATATAAGCTAGACTCATTTTCCCTACGAAATCAACGTAGGACAACTCACTAGTGATATTCCAACAATTCTCAAGTAGTATCTACTTCTAGTAGCTTTTTACTAGTAAGCTTTTAAATTATCTTTTAGATATATATAAACTTCTATACCTTTTTTTGCAGATTTACCGCCAAATGTGAAGGCTCTAGATTGGTACACGAGGATGAAAATAGCGAAAGGGGCAGCTCAGGGGCTCGAGTACTTGCACGACATGGCTAACCCTCCGATAATATACCGCGATTTCAAGGCGTCTAACATACTTCTTGATGAGACGTTCAGTCCCAAGCTGTCGGATTTTGGGCTAGCCAAGCTGGGGCCCACGGGTGGGCAAGACCACGTGTCGACCCGTGTGATGGGGACTTATGGGTATTGCGCACCTGAGTACGCGCAGACGGGACAGCTGACGACGAAGTCGGACGTTTATAGCTTTGGGGTCGTGTTTTTGGAGATCATTTCTGGAAGAAGGGCGATCGACAACACGAAGCCACCCGAGGAGGAAAATCTTGTTGCTTGGGTCAGTTCCTTTTTTTTTTTCTTTTCTTTCGAAAAGCTATCCAATGAAGCTTATGAGCTAAGCTCGAACTATTTAAAAAAGTTCATCCTACCAAACCAAACTATTTGAATACAGAAAACTTATAAGTTAGTCAAATAAGCTTTAAGTTAGCTTATACGCTTACCAAACACAGCCTTAACCAAATTTGCTTGCCTCAGTGAACCTGAAAATTTGATAGACTCGATGTACTTAAAAAACCTCATCCTACCAAACCAAACTTATTTGAATACAATAAGCTATAAGCTGGCTTATATGTTTACCAAACACAACCTTAACCAATTTGAACCTTGAAAATTTGATAGGAAACATACTTTTTTGCAGGCAAAACCCCTTTTCAAAGACAGGAGAAAATTCACACAAATGGCCGACCCATTACTCGAAGGGAACTACCCAGCAAAAGGGTTGTACCAAGCACTTGCAGTTGCAGCTATGTGTCTTCAAGAAGAAGCCAGCACGAGGCCTTTAATCGGAGATGTTGTCACAGCACTTGAATTTCTAGCCATGAGGACAGATGAAGATATTACTAGTGAAACAAATGCATAATATACAATTCTTAAAAACAGTACATAAAGATTTTTATTTCATTTTTTTTTTATTTTGTTTTAAATGAACGTCATTTAGAATTGGTAACTTGTACTCGAATGTATGACGAACTACTATTCATTCTCGACCGTGCATAGAAGTCACGTTCTTTTCATTGTGATAGACCAGAGTTCCATACAAAGCTGCATTTGGGTTTCAGACTAATAAGTAATAAACCTAAAATAACAACAGAACAAGTTATTTTATTTTTTAGAAACGAGATGAAAACAAGATGTTTACTATTCGTGTTCCCCATGACCAGAAAATATAGTCTTCAGTTCATCTTTCACTGCATCACATGCAAAAATGAAGTCGATGCCTTGCTGTGCAAGCCGAAACATTTCCCTCTTTCCAAGACCTGTTTGGAATGTTGGATACGGTTTTTGGTCAAGAAAAAGATTTGATGCAAAAATATTAGCAAAAAACAATCAATTATCACATAAGTAGACAATTGTGCACATACCAAATGCAGACGAGGCAAGTGCGTACTCGGAGGATAGACTGGTCGAGAAAACCCCAGCATCATCCGTGCACAAAATCAATGGGTGGTTTGCCGTGTACAAATCAGCTGCAAGACGAATAGTTCCATTAGCTAGACATCTATTTTCCTTATTTATTTCCTATTTTTAACAGAGTGGGAATAAATTAGAGTAGAATTATGAGTTAGGTCAGAGAGAGCCTATCATTTGTCTAGCAGTTATGAAAATTGAGATACAAAACATAAACCGACAAATTGCATCGTGAGAGAGTTTTGAAGTCAAACCAAAATGATGAACATCTGTAGAAGCAATGGTCTCTGTTCTAATATTGGATGTCAAACAAATTTCCACCTGTTTTGATGAAGGGAAATCAAATAAAAACATCAGTAAGCAAGTAAACAAACATAATTGAACACAATGGCATATTAAATTATCGCACTTTTATGGTTTGATGGAGCATTTATTTTGAAACTTTGACCAAAACACAACTTTTACTGTGAGGCTGCCTAATGGTTAGGAGAGTTATATATATAAAGTATGGTTGTCTAACAAATAGACATGCAAACTTACTGTGACCGAAATACATGAATGGAAACAATGTAATTAATTGATCAAACTACAAGATGACCACAAAT